CGTTGCCTGGAGGACAAAGGGACAAGAAGGGGGGCTTAGAGTTGGGCGTGGTCTGGGCTGTGATTGACAGCTCACTTGTCACACAAAGAAAAAACAGACATTTGTCATTGCTGCTTAAAGCAATAGTTTACAGACCAGAAAGTCTCATTCCACCCTTGTTTACACACTAAGATAATTGTAAAGCTACACACCTGAACCTTATCACACTCAATAATCTCAGAATGACTCATGTAATTTAATTTTAATCCACTAGATGGCGCCAGAATACTCCAAACTGCAGCTGGGGCGTGTGTGAGAGTTGAATGGGTTCACATCACTGGCTCTGACAGACTGACGTCACACAAAAACAACTGACGTCATAGAGAACTTCAGAGTCAATGGAGAGGCCAGAACCAAATTCAAATGTAGTACCACCAGAAAGGTTGAGAGGGCGCCACACAGCGTTTTTTGGCACAAAAGTGAAATTTTATCTAATTTGAACTCAAATGTCAAAAAAATGACCAGGATATGTAGACAGCACTACAATAAACATATTTATGCAGTTTATGAGTTAAAAAAAAGTTGATTTGGTGTTTAGTCGCTCGTTTCCATAGAGATTGCATAGAAACCAACAGCACAGATCAGAGAATCAAACAAAACAGGAAATACAATCATCAAAAATACATGGAGCCGTTAGTGCACAGGAGCAGGATGTTAAGACATGTCCCACATCGTCTTCTATCCTGTGCACGTTTATTTTGTAACACACATTTTGTTCCTGTGTCTATATATTGTGTATACATTAATTTTTGTGACATTGATGAGCATACTGTAGATCTCAGGAAGAATAGCTGCTGCATATTTCAGTAGCTAATGGTGATCAATCAATCTTTTTATTTTGAACTTCGTTGTCAAATCCAGTTCTTGATAAATAAATAAATAAAAGCTTCTTTGTACACTCTGTACTTCTATGCTCTTTTGAAAACAAATAACAAAACAAAAATATGAGAAGCAATGCAAAATCACAAAAAAAAACAAGAAAGTTCTAAAGGGAGTGAGAAGAAGTAAATACTTTTTAAACCCCAGCCCCAGTGCATAAATGTTTTTACCACATCATAGCACTTTTCAACACTCATTGCTATAATACAGGTGCTACATGATTTAGTAAAGAATCAACATAGAAGACAAAACCTTAACTCAGCGATACAGTTATTGTTACTAAATGATGTTTTATGGTGGTGGGACATAGTTTTAAATTCCAATCCAAACTATTCCACAGTCGCACTCCACACACAGAGACACACTCCACACACAGAGACACACACAGAGACAAACTCCACACACAGAGACAAACTCCACACACAGAGACACACACAGAGACACACTCCACACACAGAGACACGCTCCACACACAGAGACACACACAGAGACAAACTCCACACACAGAGACACACACAGAGACACACTCCACACACAGAGACACGCTCCACACACAGAGACACACACAGAGACACACTCCACACACAGAGACACACACAGAGACAAACTCCACACACAGAGACAAACTCCACACACAGAGACACACACAGAGACAAACTCCACACACAGAGACACGCTCCACACACAGAGACACACACAGAGACAAACTCCACACACAGAGACACACACAGAGACAAACTCCACACACAGAGACAAACTCCACACACAGAGACACACTCCACACACAGAGACACACACAGAGACAAACTCCACACACAGAGACAAACTCCACACACAGAGACACACACAGAGACACACTCCACACACAGAGACACACACAGAGACACACTCCACACACAGAGACACACACAGAGACAAACTCCACACACAGAGACACACTCCACACACAGAGACACACACAGAGACAAACTCCACACACAGAGACAAACTCCACACACAGAGACACACTCCACACACAGAGACACACACAGAGACAAACTCCACACACAGAGACACACACAGAGACAAACTCCACACACAGAGACAAACTCCACACACAGAGACACACTCCACACACAGAGACACACACAGAGACAAACTCCACACACAGAGACAAACTCCACACACAGAGACACACTCCACACACAGAGACAAACTCCACACACAGAGACACACACAGAGACACACTCCACACACAGAGACAAACTCCACACACAGAGACACACACAGAGACAAACTCCACACACAGAGACACACTCCACACACAGAGACACACACAGAGACAAACTCCACACACAGAGACAAACTCCACACACAGAGACACACTCCACACACAGAGACACACACAGAGACAAACTCCACACACAGAGACAAACTCCACACACAGAGACACACACAGAGACAAACTCCACACACAGAGACACACTCCACACACAGAGACAAACTCCACACACAGAGACAAACTCCACACACAGAGACACACTTCACACACAGAGACACACACAGAGACAAACTCCACACACAGAGACACACTCCACACACAGAGACACACACAGAGACAAACTCCACACACAGATACACACACAGAGACAAACTCCACACACAGAGACAAACTCCACACACAGAGACACACTCCACACACAGAGACACACACAGAGACAAACTCCACACACAGAGACACACTCCACACACAGAGACACACTCCACACACAGAGACAAACTCCACACACAGAGACACACACAGAGACAAACTCCACACACAGAGACACACTCCACACACAGAGACACACTCCACACACAGAGACACACTCCACACACAGAGACACACTCCACACACACAGACACACACAGACACACACACAGAGACAAACTCCACACACAGAGACACACACAGAGACAAACTCCACACACAGAGACACACTCCACACACAGAGACAAACTCCACACACAGAGACAAACTCCACACACAGAGACACACACAGAGACACACTCCACACACAGAGACAAACTCCACACACAGAGACACACACAGAGACAAACTCCACACACAGAGACACACTCCACACACAGAGACACACACACAGAAACAAACTCCACACACAGAGACAAACTCCACACACAGAGACACACTCCACACACAGAGACACACACAGAGACAAACTCCACACACAGAGACACACACAGAGACAAACTCCACACACAGAGACACACTCCACACACACACAGAGACAAACTCCACACACAGAGACAAACTCCACACACAGAGACAAACTCCACACACAGAGACACACTCCACACACAGAGACAAACTCCACACACAGAGACACACACAGAGACACACACAGAGACAAACTCCACACACAGAGACACACTCAGAGACACACACAGAGACAAACTCCACACACAGAGACACACACAGAGACACACACAGAGACAAACTCCACACACAGAGACAAACTCCACACACAGAGACACACACAGGGACAAACTCCACACACAGAGACACACACAGAGACAAACTCCACACACAGAGACAAACTCCACACACAGAGACACACTCCACCCACAGAGACACACACAGAGACAAACTCCACACACAGAGACACACTCCACACACAGAGACAAACTCCACACACAGAGACAAACTCCACACACAGAGATACACTCCACACACAGAGACACACACAGAGACACACTCCACACACAGAGACAAACTCCACACACAGAGACACACACAGAGACACACTCCACACACAGAGACACACACAGAGACAAACTCCACACACAGAGACACACTCCACACACAGAGACACACTCCACACACAGAGACAAACTCCACACACAGAGACACACTCCACACACAGAGACAAACTCCACACACAGAGACACACTCCACACACAGAGACACACTCCACACACAGAGACAAACTCCACACACAGAGACACACTCCACACACAGAGACAAACTCCACACACAGAGACACACACAGAGACAAACTCCACACACAGAGACACACTCCACACACAGAGACACACTCCACTCACAGAGACACACTCCACACACAGAGACAAACTCCACACACAGACACACTCCACACACACAGACACACACAGAGACACACACAGAGACAAACTCCACACACAGAGACACACACAGAGACAAACTCCACACACAGAGACACACTCCACACACAGAGACACACTCCACACACAGAGACAAACTCCACACACAGAGACAAACTCCACACACAGAGACACACTCCACACACAGAGACACACACAGAGACACACACAGAGACAAACTCCACACACAGAGACACACACAGAGACAAACTCCACACACAGAGACAAACTCCACACACAGAGACACACACAGAGACACACTCCACACACAGAGACACACTCCACACACACAGACACACACAGAGACACACGAAACAAACTCCACACACAGAGACACACACAGAGACAAACTCCACACACAGAGACAAACTCCACACACAGAGACAAACTCTACACACAGAGACACACTCCACACACAGAGACACACTCCACACACAGAGACACACACAGAGACACACACTTCTCCTCACGGTTCTTACAGCATTTGGTATCAGTGATCAAAATGAAAGAAAAACAAACAACCCCTGTTTAAAGAATGCCGCAAATTATCTTTACAGTTTGTGTGTTCTCTCTATATCTGTCCCTTTACTCAAATAACAAAAACAACACATAACATAAACATTAAAAAAAATCAATCAAAACTATTGACTCGCTCCACACTCGGACAGAAGCCCGTCCGAACCACCATCATTCTCTCTCTCTCGCCAGATTTCTCCCACGGTGCATGTTTTGTGTTGTTGGGGGAAACCAGAGCTTGGAGGAACCCCAGGCAGACACGAAAACATGCAAACTCTAAAACCCGGTCTGAGGGAGGATGGAAACCCCTCCACTGTCTTGCTGCTGGGTAAGAATGCTAACCACTCAGCCACCATAATGCACCTTATACGACCATTTCAGAGCATTCAGCATTAGGAGCCTACCTGTTGCTGAGGACGAGTCTATGGAAGTATTATCCACACTCAGAGCTCTGTGTGTGTGTGTGTGTGTGTGTGTGTGTGTGTGTGTGTGTGTGTGTGTGCATGTGTGTGTGCATGTGTGTGTTAAAGGGAGAGAGGGGGGTAGAGCTATTCCGGTCCGCTGTCAGATCGAGTGTCTGTGTGAACCCTCTACACTCCTGCTCTGGGACGTGCTACCAACAGGGCTAAGAATTCATACTGAAGAAAAACAACATACATGAAAAGTAAAAGTAAAAAGTAACTTGTTGTGAGTATGTCTTCCCCGCAGTTCTATGGCTGTAGCGACTCGTTTTTAAGTTCACAAACTCTTGAGAATTCATCCGGCCTGCTCCTGCTGTAAGTATGGGGCCTGAGTCGCCGCTGGGGCAGGCACTGGACCAATCACAGCAGCACAGTCAGACTCAAACACAAGCCTCATTCCCACTGCGCTAACACACACACCTTTCCCTAGTATTTACAGCTAGCTAATAAACATAGCAGCTACTTCTATCATACTGTATGTGCTAGCGTCATGAATGCAAGGGGATATACAGTACTTTTGACATAAGGGATAGCATCAGGATAGGAGGAAGAATGAGTTGAATAACAGCAGAAAAATAGCAAACCAATTTTTGTGTTTGGGTGTCATATACTGAGACTAAAACAGAATACACCACACGGGGCTCAAAAAGAGTCGGCAGAAGCATTAAAAAATACTATTATTGTAAGATAGAGATTTGAGCATGATTCTTTAGTTAGTGAGGTTGGGTGTGTCTGTGTGTGTCTTTTATTCACACACAAAAAAAAGCTTGTGCATGGTTTGAAGTACCCTGGCCTTATCCATCTGTACTCCCCGCTCAATCATCATTTCACTGCGTGTAACGTCTGGGTCTGGTCCCTGTGTTTGCGATTACAATCGCTTGAATTTCGACAGACCAATCAGAGAGCGCGGGAGGCGGGTGTTGCAGTTAGTTGTGGGTGACGTCAAGAGTTTGCGTTGAACGGGCAGGTTGTAGTTTAGCAATGGCGAAAAATGCGATAGTAAAGTAATCTGGTCTGGTTCTATCAAGAAATTGAAGCCGGAGCAAGAGTGTTTAGCAAATGTAATCGCTAGAATAAATTGTGGCGCTACTCCCCACGGGCTACTTTAGCTGTAAAGGAGATGGCTAAAGCTAGGCTAAATGCTAAATGCTAACAACAGACTCGGGCGCACTACATACGTCACGGTAAACTCGGATCCAATTGTTTCAATCTGCAAAAGGAGTTAACCCCTCCCACCTGTAAACGGAGTCAATGGAGCAAATCCAGACCTTAGTACCAAATGTAATGTGTACTATGGTGTGGTACGACCAGGCTATGTTTGAAGCAGAAGGCATAGATTTATACCATGTCCCTCCCAGCCATTCAGACACCAATGGCAATAGACAAGACAAGACACACACACATTCATATACACACGTTAACACCAATGGTAAGAGACAAGACAAGACACACACACACACACACACATACACACACATTAACACCAATGGCAGGAGACATTGCAACAAGAGACCAGACAAGACCAATGAATGGACAAGAATGAAGGAAACACAAACACACTCACGCTGATCAAAGCCCTGGACCTGATGCAGAACCGTGCTGTCGTCTCGCTGACCGCCGTTATCTGGTCAGGGGCCTCCTGAGGGCCTCTGACAGCCTCCAGTTCGCTGAGGGCCCTCTGCAGTGTGGCCCCCTGTTCAGTGATCAGCTTCAGACACGTGCGCAGGGCCTCCAGCTCGGTGTCCAGGAGCTCCACGGGCTCCTCCTGCTCCTCGCTCGACAACTCATCTACACAAATAACACATCAATTATTTTACTTTTGTATTGACCACTTGTCTTTGTGTTTGGTGTTGTATTTTTGTGTTTTGGTTGATTGTTGATGTATCTGTCCGTTTTGTTCTCTTAAATAAAAGAAGAAAAAGAACACATAGAAAATCGGTTAGACTTCTGATGGCAGGGATCCAATCGAGAAAACACCAAAATTATCATCGGAATACAAGAAATATGTTCATTCATTCATTCTCCTCCCCTTTATTAGGTAAACCATTTCTTATTGGCTGCTCTGATCTGTGACGACATGGCTTTGGTCTTCCAGAGGGGGTCTCCAGGCAAAGTCGGGTTAAGTGTCATGCCCAGTATCACTGCAGACGTCAGGTATCGCTGCAGACGTCAGGTGTCACTGACTGCAGACGTCAGGTATCACTGCAGACGTCAGGTATCACTGACTGCAGACGTCAGGTATCACCGCAGACGTCAGGTATCACTGCAAACGTCAGGTATCACCGCAAACGTCAGGTATCACCGCAGACGTTAAGTATCACTGCAGACGTTAAGTATCACTGCAGACGTTAAGTATCACTGCAGACGTCAGGTATCACTGCAGACGTCAGGTATCACCGCAGACGTTAAGTATCACTGCAGACGTCAGGTATCACTGCAGACGTCAGGTATCACTGCAAACGTCAAGTATCACCGCAAACGTCAAGTATCACCGCAGACGTTAAGTATCACCGCAGACGTTAAGTATCACTGCAGACGTCAGGTATCACTGCAAACGTCAGGTATCACCGCAGACGTTAAGTGTCACTGCAGACGTTAAGTATCACTGCAGACGTTAAGTATCACTGCAGACGTCAGGTATCACTGCAGACGTCAGGTATCACCGCAGACGTCAGGTATCACTGCAAACGTCAGGTATCACCGCAAACGTCAGGTATCACCGCAGACGTTAAGTATCACTGCAGACGTTAAGTATCACTGCAGACGTCAGGTGTCACTGCAGACGTCAGGTATCACTGCAGACGTCAGGTATCACTGCAGACGTCAGGTATCACTGTAGACGTCAGGTATCACTGCAGACGTCAGGTATCACTGCAGACGTCAGGTATCACTGTAGACGTCAGGTATCACCGCAGACGCAGGTATCACTGCAGACGTCAGGTATCACCGCAGACGTTAAGTATCACTGCAGACGTCAGGTACCACTGCAGACGTCAGGTATCACTGCAGACGTCAGGTATCACTGCAGACATCAGGTATCACTGCAGACGTCAGGTATCACTGTAGACGTCAGGTATCACCGCAGACGTCAGGTATCGCCGCAGACGTCAGGTATCGCCGCAGACGTCAGGTATCGCCGCAGACGTCAGGTATCGCCGCAGACGTCAGGTATCGCCGCAGACGTCAGGTATCGCCGCAGACGTCAGGTATCGCCGCAGACGTCAGGTATCGCCGCAGACGTCAGGTATCACTGCAAACGTCAGGTATCGCTGCAGACGTCAGGTATTGCCGCAGACGTCAGGTATCGCCGCAGACGTCAGGTATCGCCGCAGACGTCAGGTATCACTGCAGACGTCAGGTATCACTGACTGCAGACGTCAGGTATCACCGCAGACGTCAGGTATCACTGCAGACGTCAGGTATCACTGCAGACGTCAGGTATCACTGCAGACGTCAGGTATCACTGCAGACGTCAGGTATCACTGCAGACGTCAGGTATCACTGCAGACGTCAGGTATCACTGCAGACGTCAGGTATCACTGCAGACGTCAGGTATCACTGCAAACGTCAGGTATCGCTGCAGACGTCAGGTATCACTGCAGACGTCAGGTATCACCGCAGACGTTAAGTATCACTGCAGACGTTAAGTATCACTGCAGACGTCAGGTACCACTGCAGACGTCAGGTATCACTGCAGACGTCAGGTATCACTGCAGACGTCAGGTATCACTGCAGACATCAGGTATCACTGCAGAAGTCAGGTATCACTGTAGACGTCAGGTATCACCGCAGACGTCAGGTATCGCCGCAGACGTCAGGTATCGCCGCAGACGTCAGGTATCGCCGCAGACGTCAGGTATCGCCACAGACGTCAGGTATCGCCGCAGACGTCAGGTATCGCCACAGACGTCAGGTATCGCCGCAGACGTCAGGTATCGCCGCAGACGTCAGGTATCGCCGCAGACGTCAGGTATCGCCGCAGACGTCAGGTATCGCCGCAGACGTCAGGTATCACTGCAAACGTCAGGTATCGCTGCAGACGTCAGGTATTGCCGCAGACGTCAGGTATCGCCGCAGACGTCAGGTATCGCCGCAGACGTCAGGTATCACTGCAGACGTCAGGTATCACTGACTGCAGACGTCAGGTATCACCGCAGACGTCAGGTATCACTGCAGACGTCAGGTATCACTGCAGACGTCAGGTATCACTGCAGACGTCAGGTATCACTGCAGACGTCAGGTATCACTGCAGACGTCAGGTATCACTGCAGACGTCAGGTATCACTGCAGACGTCAGGTATCACTGCAAACGTCAGGTATCGCTGCAGACGTCAGGTATCACTGCAGACGTCAGGTATCACCGCAGACGTTAAGTATCACTGCAGACGTTAAGTATCACTGCAGACGTCAGGTACCACTGCAGACGTCAGGTATCACTGCAGACGTCAGGTATCACTGCAGACGTCAGGTATCACTGCAGACATCAGGTATCACTGCAGAAGTCAGGTATCACTGTAGACGTCAGGTATCACCGCAGACGTCAGGTATCGCCGCAGACGTCAGGTATCGCCGCAGACGTCAGGTATCGCCGCAGACGTCAGGTATCGCCACAGACGTCAGGTATCGCCGCAGACGTCAGGTATCGCCGCAGACGTCAGGTATCGCCGCAGACGTCAGGTATCGCCGCAGACGTCAGGTATCACTGCAAACGTCAGGTATCGCTGCAGACGTCAGGTATCGCCGCAGACGTCAGGTATCGCCGCAGACGTCAGGTATCGCCGCAGACGTCAGGTATCACTGCAGACGTCAGGTATCACTGACTGCAGACGTCAGGTATCACCGCAGACGTCAGGTATCACTGCAGACGTCAGGTATCACTGCAGACGTCAGGTATCACTGCAGACGTCAGGTATCACTGCAGACGTCAGGTATCACTGCAGACGTCAGGTATCACTGCAGACGTCAGGTGTCACTGCAAACGTCAGGTATCGCTGCAGACGTCAGGTATCGCCGCAGACGTCAGGTATCGCCGCAGACGTCAGGTATCGCCGCAGACGTCAGGTATCACTGCAGACGTCAGGTATCGCCGCAGACGTCAGGTATCACTGCAGACGTCAGGTATCACTGCAGACGTCAGGTATCACTGCAGACGTCAGGTATCACTGCAGACGTCAGGTATCACTGCAGACGTCAGGTATCACCGTAGACGTCAGGTATCACTGTAGACGTCAGGTATCACCGCAGACGTCAGGTATCACCGCAGACGTCAGGTATCACCGCAGACGTCAGGTATCACCGCAGACGTCAGGTATCACCGCAGACGTCAGGTATCACCGCAGACGTCAGGTATCACCGCAGACGTCAGGTATCACTGTAGACGTCAGGTATCACTGCAGACGTCAGGTATCACCGCAGACGTCAGGTATCACTGCAGACGTCAGGAATCACTGCAGACGTCAGGTATCACTGACTGCAGACGTCAGGTATCACCGCAGACGTCAGGTATCACTGTAGACGTCAGGTATCACTGCAGACGTCAGGTATCACTGTAGACGTCAGGTATCACCGCAGACGTCAGGTATCACTGTAGACGTCAGGTATCACTGCAGACGTCAGGTATCACCGCAGACGTCAGGTATCACTGCAGACGTCAGGAATCACTGCAGACGTTAAGTATCACTGCTGCGCCAGTGTTGGCGCCAGTTACAAAATTTAAATGTAGTAAATATTGGTCGCCTGCAGATGGCAACTCACTGACGGTTTTAGGCAGAAAGTTGATCTTTCAACTAATTTGTACTAAAGTGACAAAATTATGGCCAGGATATGTAGATGACACTATCGGACCCTCATTTATACCATTTATCAGCAAAAAAAAAATCTGGGTCGAGGGGGTGGCAGTCAGACCAGCCCCTCACTGATCCTCCTACAGGTGGTGAGTCTACAGGAGTTGAGGGTGAGTTGTCCTTTAAAAACAACTCACCCAAGATTAAATAAAAAAACCTGTGCATTGTTTGAACAGGGATTGGTTGGTCATTTTAATTCAATCCTAATTAATAGTTTAGTAAGTAATCTTTATTTATATACCGCCTTTCACAGACCAGAGTCACAAAGCGGTTTACAATTGTTATTTTTTGGGCATTTGTCTCTCACTCCTCACAGAGATGGGAGTGGGGCCAGTACAGGAGGCACATGCCAGAACTATTGTACATGTTTTTAGTGGTAGGGGAAACCGGAGTACCTGGAGGAAACCTACGCAGACACGGGGAGAAACACCACTCAGAAAGGCCTTGATCCGACCGGGATTAGAACCCAGGACCTACTTGCTGAGAGGCAAGAGTGCTATCCACTCAGCCACCGTGCCGCCCAATCCTCTCTGCGCTGATCAAACACACACTACAATACAAAAACAACAACAAAAGGATCAAAACCCGTAACATGCAATAAATGTCATTCTTGGATATGAAAAAAAGTCTGAAAATCTTATGTGCTCTTTATGTACTGGCATATTATTAAGCCCTTTTTGTCTGTTTGAGTCTCTCCAGATTGAAATAAAAAATGGCTTTACCATCAGGTGGCGGTGGTGGCCCTGTTTTGAAGTTCTAAAACATGGATATAGGACTGGCCTAAATAAACAAAAACTATCATAAATGCATCACAACATTATGATATAAAAGAATGGAGCAGAAGTCTCACCGGCGCTGCTTCTATGGGCCGACATGTTCTTCCATAGATCTGCAGGGTCCATGCTCTGATCCAAGTCCAGGAGCTCTGACCGAGGCTCCGTCTGTGGCTGCGCTCCACAACTTTAATGAAATAAAGCTCTAACAGGAGCAGCATGACAGCGCTGCAGCTCCGTCTGAAATGCTTTGCACGAGTTTCTTTGAGAACCAGTCATGTGACATCACTAACCACGATATGTTGCTACTTGATGAGTGCGATAAACAATAATATTGGTTTGTATGTTTCAACAAACAAAACAAAAAATTGGACGTGATGAGTACTTTCTCTGCCATCATCGAGTTTCTTCAAACTCAAGATGTGCCTTTAATGTTTCAAATGACACTACACCGAGGTGATAGTTCATTATAGGTCTGAGCCATGGATCTATAATAATAACTGGATAGAGTATTACTAGCTTACAGCTGTTCCACCCATGGGCACAGGGGGCGCTGTGGTACTGCAAACTACATTCACGCGGGCTACCCAAAAAAAAGTCCCATAGAACTCAATGTAAACTAAAACAGCTCGACCTCAGCTGACAGAGAACCTGACAGAGAACCTACAGCTTTCAGAAATATCGGATTTTGTGGGGATTTTAGTGTCCCTTGTCATCCTGAATTTTTTCTTCTTAAATCCTTCAGTTTTCTTTTAATCCACACTTTACTGCCACAAACTCTGCTCCTTTCCCTCCCGCTCTGACTCCGCTCTGCTGCTGCTCTGATAAACGGCTCTGATTGGTCAGAGCGCGGCCGAGCCCCTCTGTGCACTAGAGCCGCACACGCGTATTTGGAGCAACGCATCATGGGAGATAATCCACTGAACAGAACCTGGAGGACCAGACGATGCCCAAACATAGTCGAGTTCAGCTAATCTCCCCGTCCCCGTGAAGTCCCATGAACTACTGAGCAGAAGCCATTCATTTGAATGAGCGCCATCTTGGATCACCGGGGCTTGGTCTTCCACAAACCAGTGGACCACTTTCCTGTATCAGTCACGGAAGTGGTTCAGGACGGTTCAAACGCCATCAGGGACGTCACCAAACCACACTGCGCTGTGAGGCTGCACTGTTTACTCAAGACTCCCTTCGAAGCCTCGATTCATTTTGCCCAACAATAGTTAACCTTAACCATCAATAATCTCTGGTCAATTATCATTTGTACGAAAAGAAATGAGGAATTACCAACAAGATTATACAGGATTACGGCAGAGACAAGGACCTTCAGAATTCAGGACACATAAAACCCCGTAAAAGCAATATTTTTGTTCCACGGAAACAAAACAGGAGAGAGCAGCACAGACTCCCACAACCAGACTCTGTGCGATCGAGATTAACGCATTAAGAGAGAAGTGTATTGGGGTTACAAATCGGAGTGAAATGACCCGAAATGTAAGTTCTACAGAGAAATGCTGGAGCCGCCTTTTTTGATCTGCTAATCTACAATAATTCAATAGAATACACCTGACTTGATTACAGACACAAAAATACGATTGCTGCGATAAAACCGATGATCCTCGAGGTTTAAGATTGAAACGTAAAATGAGTCCCCCTTTCAAACCAAGCGGACTTCGTATTTTTGTTTTCCTGTTTGTATACACCTGCAGGTTTGAAATAAATAGATAAATAAGTTAAATGAATAAAGTCGTTTTACTGCCTCTCGAGAATAACAAAAAAAACTAAAATTCAAGAAAATCTGTGAAACAACTACTTTGTGTATGAGATAATATTGATCTCACTTACTTACTCCAACCGCTCCCACTGATGTCTGTTGTCGTTGTGTCCTTGGGCAAGACACTTAACCCCACATTGCCTGAAGCTCCTGCTGAAAATGTAGCAGCCATCTTCCTGTGGACCCACCACCTGCAGAGGGTCAGAGGGACTGGTGCTGTGACAAATGGACTAATAAATGGGGAGAAAATGAATGAATGAAAGAATCACTTAGATTGCGCAAAAGACAGAAGAATGCAACACGTTCAAGGTTAAAAAAAGAGTCTGTGCAGGATATAATTAGATGCAATAAAAAACTGGCAATTGCTGTGCTGTTTTTTTTCGTTCTATGCATTAGTGATTCAGAGTGACTTATTGTACAGTCTGATATGTATGTGAAATAGTTGAAAGCAGAGTCTGAAATTGAAATTTGTGTGTACGTAGTGCATTTGTATACATTGACTCAGATGGTAGAGCATTGGCCTTTTGTCCTGAACGTCGTGGGTTTGATGGTTTGATCCCCCCACAACTGCTCCCACTGATGTCTGCTGCCGTAGTGTCCTTGGGCAAGACACTTAACCCCCTGTTGCCCGAAGCCCTCGCTGAAAGACCAAGGCTGTGTCACCACCGATGGAGCAGCAGCCATCTTCTGTGGACCCACCACCTCCCGGAGGGTCAGTTGTGAGCATTGGGTGTCAGCTCACATTGCCACCTCCCGACCCACTTCCTGTTACTTAAAATGGCAATAAAAATAATTCAGATTCTGTTTAACATTTATTATAACAGGGTAAATAAACATTTTGGATTTGAACTCTTGTAATCTTGGTCTTCCTTCCACCACACACACACACTCAGTTCTGGGGAAAATACAAGACGAGAGGCTGTTCACCAGAGCACATGAAGGCACCGAAAGAGCTGAAGAAATGGCAGCTGCTGTTTTTCAAATCCATTTTAATAATTCGACACGTGTTCAAAATGATGTCACACTATACGAGCACGGTGACAATAACGTACAAAAGTGTGTAGCCCTTTTCATTATTACACAGACGAGACTCATGCTACACGTGAATCTGCTACATCTGCCTACACAGAGAGACACTGCAGGAACATCTGGAATAATGCCCTAAACCGCATTCTACAAACAACATGGATACAGCCTGTTCCTAATGTCGCACATATATCCATACTTTACACTAGGTTCACTATACGCCATAATATTTATCTAAAATCAAAGGAGGGTCATTGACTTCCTGTTCAAAACTGCATCAGAGAAAGTTTAATTTTATTGCAGCAAAAGCAGATTTTAATGTGTTTTTAACATGTGGGAAATGGTTGACCTGAAGAAGAGATTTGGGGATTTTCACAAAAAGGTAAACTAAAAATCGTACATCTAGTGACATCTTGATAAAGTGGGTGTCAGTAACTTTTTAAGTTGTGAAGAGAGTGATATTTTTTTGATATAAATAAAAATTCATGAGGCCCCCCTAATCAGTTGGTAAATCTTACTGATTATAGTTTTGCCGACGGTTGAGGCAATTAAAAGTATGTTATTCTTATCATGTACACGGTAGTACAATGCCCCATGGTTTGAAAAACACATTATTTTGTGTTTTTAAAGGTGATATTAAGTTGTTAACATCCCCTTTAAAATAACTTCTAATTCATCTGATTTTTCTCAGTAGAGGGGCTTAGACTACAATAACATGTCCTGTGGTAATAGCCTAACCAAGCCCGATATTATAACAGATCCATGACCAAGGCCCGGCAAAACCAAGATGTCTGCCTATTCAAATCAAAGGCCGGTGCTCACGTTTGTTGTTCTTCCGGCCTGAGGCGAAAACGTGAGCATTTTGACCACGTTTTTAGATTACAGGGCGTCAAAAAGGTTCTCAAAGGGTGCATGGTCCCCTTTCCTCAAATCTTCAGGTTAAAACTGGACTCGGCTGAAGGTGTTAACCCTTTGAGGACTGGTTTGACACCCCTGGGTTATAAAGAGGCAGAGTTTATCAAACAAATGTGTGGATTAATAGAAAACTGAGTCAAAAACAGAATTGAAGTCATTTTAAATCATTTCTTCTGGCCGTGTTAA